CTTAGAGCGCTGTTTATTCCATCTACCAACGTGTTACATCGCACCGCCAAATGTACCATATTCCCAAGCACAATACTGCCACGTTTCAGAGATCTTTCACTTATAACGCTAATAAAGTTTATAATGATGTCCCTGCTACTGTTAAAGCCTGTCCATCTTCTAAGTCGTTTATAAATAAGTTTAAAGATGTTTTGTTAATGAGGAGAGAATAGGTTCCTTCATTAAGTGTGTAAATGATATATCGAGTTCCTTTGTTTTTAATGATGAGATCCTTCCTTTATAAACATCTAACGGAATAACACTTATATCAGCGCCATCGTCCAGTTGTACATTGTATGTATGTCTCGTGCTGTTCAAAAGCGTCGATATTCAGTTAAAAAGTGATCAAAGTTTTCATCTTCCCTTTGGCTGCCTTTATAAAAAAATATACCTTTCAAAACATTAATTTGACCAATTACATATGGCCGAATTTATAGCGTTCCATTTGGATTTCACTGGTGGAACCCTTGGAAACTAAATAATCTAGGAATGCTGTCCGCTAAAATTTCCATTCACTTGCTGGGAACCCTCCCTCATTTTTTATTTACTTCAGGCTAATTCCTGTTAAACTTGAGTTTTAACTTGTTGCAAGCAATATAGTACATGCCTGACTAAATAAAATCAAGTCAAATTTATTTCCATAGACTTGATTTGAGGTATCATATAATGTCAAAAATATCAATATGTGAAGTGAAGTAAGCAAATAATGAAAAACTTTCATCGGCAAAACAACCGGACATTGGCAACTACGAGGGGGTACCCAAAAAAAACCGAAATCATGTTTTATAAACTATATATTGCTTTGAAAATCACAGAACGACCTTATCCCCTTCAAAATACTGCCCATCTTTGGCTATAGCCGACAGCTCATCGCTCGTTTTTTTCTTGACCTCTTCAAGGTTGTCAAATCGCTGTCCTTTCATGTCCCTTTTCATACGTGGAAATAAGAAGAAGTCACACGGAGCGAGATCAGGCGAGTAAGGTGCATGGGGCAGAGGAACCATGCCATTTTTAGCCAAAAACTGCTTAACAGAAATGGCAGTGTGTGCAGGTGCATTATCGTGGTGAAAGAACCAGTCCCCTGTCCGCCACAAATCGGGTCTTTTTTGTCGAATACTGTTGCGCAATCTTCTTAAAACTTCCAGATAAAAAGCTTGATTAACGGTCTCACCTGGTGGAACGAACTCTGCATGAACTACGCCGTTGATGTCGAAAAAGCAAATCAGCATCGTTTTGATGTTTGATTTGATCTGACGACATTTTTTTGGACGGGGAGACAGTGACGTCTTCCATTGGCTGGACTGTCGCTTCGTTTCTGGATCGTAACCATAGCACCATGAGTCGTCACCAGTAATGATCTTTGAAAGAAAATCTGGATCTGTTTTAAGCTGTTGATTCCAAGCAGGACATGTTTCAACACGATGTGCTTTTTGCATGTCAGTGAGAACACGAGGAACAAACTTGGCAGCAACTCTTTTCATTCCCAAATCTTCGGCTGAACCGTGCTCCAAGACAACCCACCAATCTTTGATAATTGTGCAATTGTCTGTCGACGGTCTGTGAGCACAAACTCTCGAATCTTTTCAATATTTCCGTCGATTCGAGCAGTTGATGGACGTCCAGAACGAGGTCAGTCATCAATTGACTCGTCGCCATTTTTCAAGCGAACAAACCACTGGTACACTTGAGTTTTTCCCATCGCATCGTCTTTATAAGCTGTTTTTAACATTGAAACAGTTTCAGCAGCACTTTTAGCGAGCAGAAAACAAAATTTCACAGCTGCACTTTGTTCTTTTAAACTTGCCATCGAAAAAAACCAAATAACAAACAAACAGCGTTAACAAAAAATGGCTCTGCAAGTGAACAAAACAAGTTAAATTTAAAACGAAGGTGGCCTTGAACTCGCAATAAGTTGTACTATCCACAACCTAGTACACCTATACAAGGCTCTGCGCGCGGCAATTCAATTCCGGTTTTTTATGGGTACCCCCTCGTATAGACAATTTAGGCCTGGGATAATTTTTATCAAAATGCAAATTAGGAGTTGAGGTGGCTTATAGCTACTAGGATCAGATTTAACAATTAACACACAGTTATAAGTAAGTAGACCAGAAAGAGTTACTATTTCCATATTACGAAATAGTTGACGACAACAGGAAAACCTAGGTTTAGATAACATTGTTCTTCTTAATATTTCTCCGCGACATGATGCCTTTCCTCAACATAGTGTGCTATAATTTAGGCACGAATCAACATATTAACAAAAATAAAAACGTAACAAATCTAGAGAACCCAAATTTCTTAATCTTCATATTACGTAGCAATAGATGCAAAGTTTTGGCATAATATGATCTTGGTTCAGAACTGGTGTTACCATGTTTATTTAAGCTTTACTGATTCACATCTATCAGTAAAATTTATGGAAAAGCACATAAATAATGATAAAGTCGAATGAACGTTGCAAATAAAAAAATTCACAAGCAGTTCTCCGGTCTTGATGTATATTGAGAGTAATATGTTTGTAGAGTGAAAGAATTGTCTGATCTGTCGAATGTTTTCTGCGAAATCCGAACTGAATATTTGAAAAAAAAAATATTTACATGGATGTAAATGCCTGTAAAAGGTTTTTTCAAAGATATTAGAAAATACTGACAGCCATGTGGTCTATAGTTTGAAACTCACCTAATTCCACCCGTGTTATGAAGCAGAAAAATTATTGCGTTTTTTAAGCAAGACTTTAAAGTACCAATGGAGAAAGAATAATTTACAAGATATGCTAATGGCACATTAATAAATTCAACCGCATGCGAGTACATCACACTATCACAACCGGAATTACTCTTCTATAAATAATTACCATAGACTAGACTGGAAGGGCATGAACATTGCCCAACAAAGTGTATGTTTATATTTTGTTAATTTTGGGTTATTGCGAAAGTTTCTGCGCAATAATCTTTTTTAAATATTTTTCCAATGTTTTTGTTTACTTCTGTGAGGAAGTATAATCCCAAATATATCACAAAAGGTCAGGTAGAGGTAGATTAGACCAGAAAAAAATTCTCTAGAAAGTTACGAGAAATCAATATATAAATATATTCGGTGTTCTATTTGAAATTAGAAAGTAATTACTTGTCTCGCATTATACTGAATATATAACATTATAAAATTTGAAAAAATAAGTCCAAACAACTTTTGTCTTTAAGTTTTTTTGACATTGTTCTGGTTTTGAGACTACCATGCCTGCCGTGCATCTAAGAGACATTTGTATACAACATGCCGTCATAATAAAGCCTTAAGTTAACCTAAATATGTCCCAGCAAGGGAACGTGGAGTATTAGGAAAAGGACGGTTCCAGAAATTTAACAAAAAATTGTTAAGTAAATCGGCCCAGCAAAAATGTTGGAAATGATTTTAATGTTTCTGTTGATATCTCGTAAAAGGTTTAGAGTATATTAATATTAATAACCTACTTGGAGTAGTTAAAAAGGCTTTTACTGTGCTCTCGTAGTACGAGTGAAGCGATTGAGATTTGCCATGTCATGAGATAGTCAATTAAGCGCCAAAACTCAAACTCAATGAAATCGGATTCTCAATATTTACTAAAAGAATTGGGATTTTGGCAAGAACTTCGACTTTGCGGGTTATTAATTTATTTTATTAATTTTTTAAGATGGAAAACTATATTTAAGAGCAGAAAAAATTATTACTTTTTAAGAATACCTTTGGAAGACACTAAATTACCCCATAGCTGTAATTAATATGTTTTGACATGCTTAGTCGTCTTAGAATAATTAGTATTACCATTTGTTTTCTTCTTTTCACAGAAAAAAATCATTTCTAATTTTCAAATTACCATAAAAACAAATCTGTTATTTGTGTGACCATGTCGTTTTTTGATGCTTCTCAAAGTATCTTGATTACCTACTGTTTTTGTTAATTTAAGTTTCTTAGATATGAATTGTATTAAAAATGTCTTATTGAAAGTCATCGTAATCCAGTGTCTGGATGATATCGACACGTTAGGAACGAAGAAAAATCCCGATTATTTCAATACATATTTTACTATTTAAATAATAAAAATAAAATTGGTTAGTCGTCAACAATTTATTAGTTTCTGTTAGTTGACTAAACGTACTTGTTAACGAAAAAATTTGTGATCATAAATTAATTGAAAATGGGCAAGGCTACCAAAACTTAATATTGTCAGCTACTGGGTAATTTTGTGAGATTTCGAAGGTATTGTAAAAAAGTAATGATAAACAACAAAATTCTGCTGCGATTCTAAAAATGATTTGAAAATCTAAACAATAAATTAATTAGTTAATAATAAATAACCTAATTAAATTAATGTGTTAACCCATAAAGTGGAAATTGTTTCCAAAACAAAGCTCTTTTAGCGTTAAGTTCCTTTAAGAATATCTAAAGTTAGGATGAAGATTATGTCAGAGAACGCCACCTGGCAGCAAGATCAGCTATCGCAATCGCGTCATACATAGCATAGGAAGAGTCCTTTTTTACTACTCCAAGTTCGTTAAAATGGCTAAAGCGTTTTTTGAGATTTGGACATTTATTTCTGAAAAGGTTCAAACACCCCCTACCACTTTCCCTTAGCAGATACTACAGATACACGAGTCACTTTAACTACGTTTAATATGACAATTACGCTGGTGCTCCCAGAAATTCGAAGATAATTATCATTATTTTCGCTTGGACGTTTTACTTAATAATACCCGATATATTTTGAAGTTAATCCATAACAAACAAATAAAATAACAAATGCAACTGAATGTGGTAAATTTGGACAAAAAGATGCAAACTAACGCTTCTCTAAATTTCTTTCTTAAACGCAAATTTCGTTTTTGTTGGGCGTTCACCGGACGCGTGGTCGGTTCGGAATCTCTTTTCAAGGGATGGGTCGATTAGTCGTAAGTTTATAGAATTATATTATAATTGTTACTTACAGTTGAACACTGTCGGAATCTTGGGTGCAGGTGAGTATACTTATAATGTACTTTTGCTCTTCGTCGTCCTCGCTTTTTACATACTGTTCCACAAAGAACTTAAAATAAGAATCATTTGCTGCGTAACGCACGCAATTACACAGTACTCCGTACTTAACATGCGAGTTTATGCTAAAATTGTCGAAACAACATCTATTGAAAAAACATTTAACCACAAAGAAAATTGATTTTCTTCTTTTTTGTTATTAGGCATTTGAAGGAGACTTTTTTACTCAGATGTACGATTACTTTGACAATAATATCATTCCGACTGCGCAATGTGTATTTAGAAAACACCTTGGAACTTCTGAGGCACTTACAAATATTGCACAATATTAACTTGCTTTTAAAACTGCGACCAAACATATGGCGTATTGATGAAGTATAATAAATATCATGTTATCTCTAATATTAATAATGAGTGTTTTTTTTTCGATGTATAGAACTTTAAGTTGGCATTTCTGTTCAAGATGGCGATCGATTTAACAGCTGTCAAGTTCAATTCATCATGAATAGACTCACGCCTGAACAACGCTTGCAAATAGTGCCATTTTATTTCGAAAATGATGTTTCTGTGCAGAATACGTATCGCGCAGTACGTCCATTTTATCGTCGACAAAATCGTCCATCAGAGGAGTTAATTCGATTAACCATGGAACGTTTTCGCATCACGTTTACTCTTATTGATAATTCGCATCCCCAGAGACGCCGTACGGTGCGTACAGAAGAAGCTATTGCTGCTGTAGAGCGTAGCATTGAGGAACACCCGAATGAGTCCATCCGCCATCGAGCACAGGAATTGGATCTGTGTCTATCCACTTTATGGAAGATTTTGCGAAAGGATATTGGTTTACGTGCTTACAAAATCCAACTCGTGCAAGAATTGAAGCCAAACGAATTGAATAACCATGATGTCCAGGAGATGTGGTTTCAACAAGACGGCGCAACATGTCACACAACTCGTGCCACAATCGATTTATTGAAAGACACGTTTGGTGACCGCCTAATTTCACGTTTTAGATCTGTGATTTAACACCGCTAGACTACTTTCTGTGGGCCCATGTAAAGTCATTGGTCTATGCGGATAAGCCACAAACGCTTGACCATTTGGAAGACAACATTCGCCGTGTTATTGCCGATATACGGCCACAAATTTTGGAAAAAGTCATCGAAAATTGGACGTCCAGATTGGACTAGATCCGCGCCAGCCGTGCCGATCATATACCAGAAATCATGTTTAAAACGTATTGCCACAAGATTATCTTTCGGATAAATAAAATTCATATCAATCGAATATTCCATCGATCTTTTATTGCAACTTAAAGTTCTATACATCGAAAAAAAACACCCCTTATTATCATCTCACGCACGGAGCTCAGAAAAGAAGGTATGAAAATGTAATTCTCTACGATCGTCCAACTAACATAGCTTAGACATGAGTTTTGAACACTTTGTATCCGTGGTCTACTCGCTTCATCCAGACAAATACTGCGAAAAAAATGAAAATAAGAAAGAACAGGCAGGCGACTTATTTTAGACGTTCCTTAAACCGAGGATGAGTATTTAACATCACTTCGATTTTCCTAGTTATAGGTACAGATTTGAATTGAGTAATTTTCATGTTAAACCTATTGATTAGTCCTTTTTAATACTTTCCTCCTTTTACATTTTTTTTTAAGTCTCGAGTATTAATTCGTAATTACGCGAGAAATCTTTCAAATTTCTATACTCATATGTACGCTCACTTTGTCAGTAACAGCATACCCACATACTTTTGCGATTTTGAAAACATTTTAGAACTTCTGTAACACTTTAAAATGTTATCGACGATATTAGAGCATGTGAGAAAAATATGGTCAGAGTTTTCTTTTGAATCTTCTTCTATTTTTTATGTTTAATACGCATACATTCCACTCTGCCCTCCTCTTTTCGTTATGAAGAAACTAACATAATTAATAACGAATATTCTGATGGGTGTTTTACAAATTCTAAGCATATTCTAGCAGCCGCAACCTCAAATGGAACACGACGAAATTACGCTTAATGGCTTTTCTTAAGGGAATATTGAATATCTTCCGACATGCCAATTCAGCGTAAATGAGTTTAGTCTGAGTAAGAAGAATATTCCCACAGAATGTTATGCATGAATGCATTGCGTTTATCATTTATTTTTTGCATTTATTCATTAATAATTTTTTTTGTTTACGATAATATCAACTCACGTTTTTCCATGTTTGTAATCTTCGAATAATGGGCGAGCATCCTCTAGGCAACTTGGGTAACCCAATCGGCAAGCCCATTCGCTTACCGTTGATTGTTTCATGGCAAAATATTGGTTGTCGTCTGGCACTGGTGCATTTATTGGTATCGTCGTGTATACTTTTTCAAGCAGACATACCAAATATACCTACAAGCAGACAAATGGAATAGGCATAAGTGACATTCCTGTAGAAAATATTTGAGTTGCACCTTTTTTATTTAAAAATCAAGAACAACTTAAGCAATACCCGACATTTAAAAAGGGTTCAATATAATTATTTATATAATTCCATTGTGTTTTTAGGGGCACTAATTACGGTAATATCTAATAATAATAATAATAATAATTATTATTATTATTATTATTATTATTATTATTATTATTATTATTATGCCTATGATTAAGATGCCTTAAACTGGGATATATTTGTCTTATTCTTCGGGACGGCGTAAGTTCAATAATTTTTTTTTTTTTTAGAGTTACTAGGCTATATTTTCTAATGTTGTAAGGATATACAAGACAGGCTGAACTATTTTCAGTATGTTTACCTCCTTCTGATATGAGAAGCATGAGCACAGTTAAAATAGCTTAGAACGAAACTTAACAACTTGGCATAGCATCTCTAATACTCTCAAATTCCAAAATTCCACCACTGCTTTTAAAATTTAGCATTTTGCAACAATCTGAAAAAATTTACCAACTGTTTGGCATTTTCTCCAAAACTAATTAAACTCGATTTGCTAACATTTATTTCAATTCCGAAATTTCCAATATATTTTGGAACTGATCAAAACTCTAAGCTCGAATGTATGTACAATTAACAAAAGCACTCGGTTCCATCTTAAAAGGTAATTGCCGTAAAGATTTGGAGTGAAAAAATTACTTTTAAGTTTCTGGAATGGCCGCAGGACGTAATTTTAAATACCGTTTTTTGAGAAACAACTTTATATTACAAAGATCTAAAATGTACGCTATTTTAAAGTTGTTATAAATTCTTATTTGTATAATTTGTAAATTCAGAATAAATCGCAAATGTGTATTGTATTGTGTTTGTTTTTTGTTGTATCTGTATTTCGGAGAGCAGGGACATATTTTATGAGGCATGTTGAGCTCCGTCATAACACATTTCCAGTTTAGAGAGTGCCCCTTCATTAAGAACCATCTTGTATATATTGGTTTTTTCAAATAATGGCTTTTACTTAATTAATAAACTTACCCTGATTTTATACATTAGCACGGATTCGTACACTGAAATGTTGTTAAATATGTCTAAGAAGGCGCTGAATGCGGCCGTCCATGGAAGAAAATCCACTTCATTTTTAAGATAATCAAGTAGATCAAATATCATGGAGTACTTTGTTTTGTTGCCTTCCCCAAAAGAGAACAGGTCATTGACAATTTGCGCGCGGTTCATTTCGCTGATCCCATCAAAATTCGGTTGCTGTAACGCTTTCGAGATATTTTCCAACAAAAAATCATCGTACATTACCCTGTAAAACCCTATGAGTTAAAGGAACCGTATTATCACTTCACTTCTAGAAGCAAAAGTTATATCGTTACCTGTTTGCTGGTTATTTAAAATTACCCACGAGTCAGAACTGTCGAGAGGTATAATAGCACGTTGTTCGGACGGTGATAACCAAAGCATAGGTTCAGTTTTTTCAAAGTTTTGAGGATTTGATGATGTCGTGTAGGTTATGGGTATGTACCACTTTGTAGTAGTGTCCTTGGATAATCTGACGAACCTTTCCTATCATTTTAAATTCAATTAAATCTGTTTACCCAACATGATACCACCAAAACATTAATTTAGCTCTCACTTCTACCCATTGAAGCTAAAATTTTGATCGTAGCTCGCCAAGGCTCTTTTCCATGGATACATTAATTCCACATTATAAGGGTCATTGAAATTTAATGAATCGGACATAAGACACAAAAATGGTGAAAACATTGTTTGGTCATTGATAATAAACGATAATTTATCACTCAGTTTATTAAATCGATTATTAGTCGCTAGCAATTGGTTAAACGCTAAGATACTTTGTCGATTAATTTTGAGTTGTCAAAAGATTTATGAGTTAAAGGACTTGTCTATTTGGTGACCAGTTGAGAAGGGCACTCGATTCTATCTCGAAAAGTAAATATCGTAAATACTTGGGGTGAAAAAACCTATCATTAAGCAGTCAAGGAAAAATTCTGGAAATTATTTTTAAATTTCTAAATTGACTGCCAGAAATATTCTCATATTAGAGATACCTAAATGAACATTATTTTAAAGTTGGCACAAATTCGATTCTTTTTCACAGTTTTTGCTCTATTTGTGCTGGAGGTGTCAGAACATTTTCGGAAACAAAAGTAAATATAAATAACTTCAGAATGGCTGAACGCATTGTCAAACTTAAAGTCACAGAAAATGCCGTTAACGCTGTCCTGAGCAGATTGATTTCAATTGCATGTATTTCCCCTAGAGGCGTTTTGCGACATCACTACAAATACAGTTTATGCAACGACATCATTTTTGTTACCACAAATGATCTACAAACGAGGATCTAACACCATTTATGTCTTTCCTAACCTGTACTACTAGTTAAAGAAATACAAACTGAATAATATCGCCATCTTTAGGAAGAATTTTAGGATACCTATTTTGCCATACAGTATACTTGTACACGTAACATAAGCTATTTTATAGTAGTTGGCAGTATGACTAAATTCACTAAATATACAATTAGTCGTATCTTTTCCAACTTCTGCATCCCCCGTCCCGGTGGAGGCCTGGCGATAGTAAATTTACAGATTCCCAACCACTCAAAAAAAAATTCGAATTTAGTTTGGCTAGTGTACGAGAGATGTCGAGCAATAATAGCTCAAGTTTTGATCGTCAGGTGTCACCTCTAATATGGGTAGGAGGTAGTTTTTTGTGTTAGTGTTTTTTGGCAACTTTTTTTGCACCCTGTACTCGCGGGAGTTGAGCTCGGCCGACGGAGTTACGGTTATATCGCTGAACGAGATTATTATGTCACCGAGGTCGTGTACAATCTATCTAAGCAAAGCACACTAACCCAGACCATGTTAATAATGTTATGCGATAGCAACTACGGAATCCCCATGACGAATACTTTTCCGCTATCGCGACCGGAATGAATGGTTTCTTATCTCTATTGAGTTATATTATTTCTATTGAGTCGCCCAATTCGCACATAATTAAATTATACAAGATTCACGCCCACAAACGTTGTCAATGATTTTGGAAGATAGAAACTATGGTTTAATGTGCTCGTGAATTTCTCGGTGAAAATGAATTGTTCCTTATCGCGAAGATACAGAAGCGATGTAAAAAACTAATGCTTTTGCGGTCATCCAGAATCAAATGATAGACCAGTATGCTGAGCAATTAAACGAACAAATCACTCGCCTGTGTATACAGGCCGAGCGATACTGATAATGATTCTAATTTTCAGCTCTTACAACCCATGAACAATTTTGTCACAAATTCCGTCAACCCTGTTATTGCTGGCGACTTTAATTTCCCAAGAATATACTGGTATGTTACTTTAAACGACTTTGTCCCCACTTCCATGGAATACATGTTCCTAGATTTTTGTCAGATTGTAATCTTAGTCAACTTGTGGAAGAACACACAGGCTTCCGAGAGAACGACGCTCCGTCAACTCTTCATCTTGTAATTACTCAGGATCCCAATTTACTTGACAAATTGGAGCTTGATTCCCCAATTGGCAAATCTGATCATGTCGTTATTGAGTTTTGTATTCAAGCCTTATGTTATCCCAAGCAGGTCAATAATCGTAAAATGTTATGCAGGACAAATTATGCAAGATTAGCTGCAGACCTTTCGCACCATACATGGAATTTTCCTGATAACGACTTTAAGTTTCAATAAAACAACGATGGATTACTCGATTGATATGAATTTTATTTATCCGAAAGGTAATCTTGTGGCATTACATTTTAAATATGATTTCTGTCATATGATCGGCACTGCTGGCGCGGATGTAGTCCAATCTGGCCGTCCAATTTTCGATGACTTTTCCAACATTTGTGGCCGTATATCGGCAAATCGACAAATCCGCGGCGTATCGACTTATTCGAATTTTAAAATCAAAGGGTCCTTTACACCCTAACAGCCAACCACTACTTTTTGATTATACTATACATATCATTGGGGATGAGAATCTTTTAGCCCAAGATAAGAATTTGGTTCTCAAGATTATTGATAATTTTACAAAAAAACTGCATAAAAAGTGGAACCAATCGAAACATTATTTAACAAAGTTCCAGCGTATACATGAAAAATGGCTTTTGGAAGAAATTTTAAAATTCGGACCAAGACCACCATTAAGGAAGTCGACAGACTAAACGCAGCGGGGTTGAAGCTGAACTGGCGTCGAAATCAGAAGAGGAATTTCGCCATGCCACTGAAATGAAGTTACGGACAGCAGGAAAACGTGATGCCACGGCACTTATTTAGAAAATAAGATTTTCGCCGAAAAAAGCAACTCGTTTAAAGAAGATGGAAGAAGTTCGCAATGTACGCTTAGATAATGTATCTTTTTCTGCAGATGAGGCCCTTGCCTTTTTTGTTAGCTTTAAATTTACCCGTCACCAATACTAATAAGGTTAGTTAACGAAAAAGGTTTCACAAAGTTGTTTCCCACTTATGATAAAATTTTAGAGGCCAAAAAACAATGATACCCTAATAAAATCCTAGTGACTAACTCAACAGTTGAAGTTCCCTTGCAATCATTATTAGATCGACATCTCGTGTAGTTAAGGTACAAAAAGAAGTTTTGTAAAGGTCTTTCAACAACGTTGAAGGACCTGTAACATCTTTAAAGCTAATCACTAAATAGGGATCTAGCGGAAGTGCAAACCAAAGCAATTATAAACAAAAAATTGAAGGGGATGATTCAACTGTATTGACGACATCAAAAGTACCTTTACAATAAAACTTTAAAAACGAATTTGGAAAATCCACAATATTGTGGCAAAATCTACGAACCTCCTCGACTCGTTTTTACAGGCCTTTAAGATTGCGGTTTATTAAAGAAACTGACGAAGCAATTAAGTCAGAAATCTCTTATGTCGAAAGCCAAATTAAGCAAAATAATTATTAAAAACTATGGTAGACGGAAAGGTTTGCAATTTCTTAATGTCTACCTCATCACAAAAATGTTACCTACGCAAATCTGGACTTGCTCAATTTAATAATCTTAACTTTATAAAATCTTTACCTATCAATAAAGATGGGCTTAATCTAGGCGTCTCCACTCTCCATACGTACATACGATTTTTTGAATGTTTCATTCATATTTCGTATAGATTAAATTTAAAAGTTTGGCGAGTGCCAAAAATTCATAAGGACGCATTTAATCATAGGAAACAGGAAATAATTAAAAAAATTAGGCAAGAAGTAGGTTTGTTAGTCGATATTCCCAAAGCGGGGTTCGGTTATACTAATGATCGGAATACGGGTATGAGATTTTTTCGGACCCTGCTATTTCATCCAGAATTACTGATGTAGATCAAAACTTAATTTATAGATGTGATATTTTATTAAATTCCGGTTATCAAGTATGCTTATGAAACAGCTCAAATCTATGTTAGCCTATATCTAATGCGCCCTACAGTGCATAAAATCTTGATGCACAGTAAAGAGATTATCGATAACTTTTTATTACCGATAGAACAGCTGGGAGAGGATGCCCAGGAATCGAGGCATAAAGAGGTTAAGTACTATAGGGATCATAACACTTGGAAGATATCTAGAAATGATTACAACAAAGACTTATTTAATATTCTTTTAGTCTCTTCAGACCCTCTTGTATCTAGTGTGAGGGTTGTACCACCAAAAAAAGAAAGTGTTTTTAGTACAGAAGTTATCAGTTTTCCAGCAGAACCTGAATTTAATTAGATATATAAGATATTTCATTTTGCACCATTTGTATAATTAATTATAGTTAATTAATATTGATTTATTATAATTAAATACTTTATAAATTTATAACATTAACATTTACAGTGACTTTGTTTCTTGATAGTAATGTATTTAACCTGTGTTTATCTTTTTTAAAATCGGTTGAATTTTATCTAAAAAAATGAACTGAAGTGTAAATTTATTCAGATGATAAAATTCACTGATGTTAATAATTACCTATTGGTAAAAACATGAACAATGTTTTTTTTTTATTAAACTTGGTTGATAAAAAAAATGCACCTACCTACTTTATATACACAGAATATGTTTAGATTTTATATAGTTAAAATTTAGTAATTCTAGCATCACGTTTCATATCAGTATTGTTAGTTAAACTTATCATAATAGGTACAGTAGTAGTAAAAAATGGGACACGAGTTTGTCACATTGTAATTACAATTATTACAAAAAAATAAATATATAAAGCAAATTTTGCAACAACTTTTATGTACATTTTGAGAGTTAATTAGTATCTACCTTAATTTATATAACCGAAAAAAATGCTTATCTAGCCTTAATATTATTGCAATCCTAGAATTGCATTTTCTATCACTGTGCGCCGCCTTCGCAGTTACTAACAGATATTCAAAAACGCAAGCGTACTGGTGCAAATTTTCGAGACTCAACGTGAATGGTTTGGGGCGTTTGAAGATGACAACGGAAAAAGGGTAGTTTGTGAAGCGTTCAATTTGAAAAAACAGCTGACGCCAGGCGAAGAAGGTATCCAGCAGCACGAAACTCAGATAGCACTTATTCACGCCGATCTCGCCGAATACAAATCAAAAATATGATATTTTCAAAATTTGACTCCAGGTCAAATTGTATAAAAATTTATAAATATTCTTGAACTGTAATGTGACGCAAAAATAACACATTAGGGCTGACATCTGGCGACCAAAACCTGAGCTATTAAGGAGCGACATCTCTCGTACACTAGCCAAACTAAATTCGATTTTTTTTGGGTTGCTTGGGAATCTGTAAAGATCTCCCGCGGGGGATACAGAAGTAAGAAAAATATACTAGTTACCATACCCCAGTATAGCGTCAAGTCTTAAGACTAGAGATGACAGGCAGTAAATTATAATATTATGTTAATGTTGCAAGATTCAAATTTTTACTAGGATCCAACAGGAAGGCGAAAGCTGTTGAATGCATTAGTGCAGAACGCAGTTAATTTGCTTTGTGTTAAAGAAGTCTACATTATCTGTATGAGTGTTTTAGTTATTGTCACATGGATGGCACTACATGTATTGTTTTGTAATAATAGCTTTCTTTGGCCTACGTGACTCGAGAAAAACACGCGGTGAAATGACCAACCAAGTAGTGTAGTATAAAATAAATTTTGTCAGTTTTCTTATACAAAATTCCAATATTTAATACATCCTTCTTAAATAAAACACTTTAGTGTGTGTTATTAAACACACATAATTCAAGAAAAGCTTCGATTATTTTGCAAATGAAATCAAAATGTTAGGAAGGGCATGTAATCTCGGAGATTTAGAATACTAGTAGTACGGAACAACATTGTCAGTGTAATACGAGCCCAACCACTGCAGGAACAACTTCATCCGCAATTAAAATTGACACTACAGGTCGAGCAGCAGACGCTGGTTCTTTCCAGGTCAACGAAACTTTGAAGGAAGTAAAAAATCATAAAAAGGGAAAAGCAAGTCAACACCGGTAGGTAATTTCTATAACTGTCTAAAATGCGGTAGCTCACTTGGAAAGTAAGACTGTCCTGACTTACGCAAAAAACTTTATATAATTTTTTTATAATATTTGCCAAATCGTCAAATACAATATTTGCACAGAAGAAAATAAAACTGTACCGTCCGTTCAATTAATCTTGATAACTTTTTAATTGGTTGCAACTTTTTTGTTTTTAGAGATACCAAGGTAAAGAAAAAAAAAGTAGGGTTAGTAGCCAAGCTTTTGACAAATCGGTAAAAATAAGAAATTTTTATATAATTTGAGAGGGTGCCGTGACTCACAGAAACACCTATAATTATTTACAAATTAAAATAGAACAAAAACACTAAAAATGTCAAGACACACTAAAGTAAATATTCTAAATACTGCTGTCTGTGACCACGATTTTCCTGAAGACGTTTGTTATACACTCTAATTGTATGATGTCTTGCATTTAGTAACGTTTCCGTATTGTTTCTTAACTGATTTATTGCCCCTGAAATCCTTTACCGAAATTCCACGACATTATTACAAGGAGTTCTGTACGCGTGATTTTTTATGTCCCCACAAGAAAAAGTGTATTAAAGTTGCTGCTATATAATCCGCGCTGATATATTGAGGGGTAAACCTTCTATAAGTTGTTCTATTTCGGGCTCTAAGAGTTGCAAATACTTTATAAATATCGGACCCAAAATATGCCCATCTATGGCATCACACCATACATTAATTAGTTGGTAACCCTGTATTTTTATTTTGTATTTTCGTATTTTCTTGTAATAAACAAACTTTCATCAGAACATAAAATGTTTTTCAAAACATTATTAGTCTCATTATGCCTATTTAAAAAATCCAAAGAAAACTGCATCCTCCTTTGATATTGTTTTGCACTTAGTTTTAGAGTTTTACGAAATTTAAATGCATTATATTTATATTCTCTCAAAACTGACGGGATTGATCCCCGAGAAATATCTGTCCCTTCATATTCTCTAATAATAGACGAAACTGGATGTGCTTAATAAAATCCTAATATGATTGCCTTATTTTTTTCGTTTAAACCATTATGATTCCGGCATACGGTTTTAGCATTTAATACGTTACCTTGGAAATATCTGTTTTGAAGGAGCTCGGCGCTCTGGATAAAGTCTAATATACTAACGACGAGCTGTGGTTGCACTTTGATTATTCAGAAAGTATACTTGAAGCATATCACTTCTTTCATGGATGCTAAATTCGCGAAAAACAATTTTAACAATAATGACTTGAATAGTAATTGAACCATGAACGTTGTTTACTAATATGTCAAACATGTTTTTATTTGTCAGTTAGGGCAGTCTTTGAAATGATATAAAAATTTCCTATTTTTGTCGATTTGTCAGAAACGGGTGTACTAAAATATAAAGTGTGTTATATCATTGTAATCGGAATAAGATATTCTATTAAACACATATATAATATACAGGGTGTTCAATTTTAAAAAATATGATGGAGGCTTATATGTCAGAACATTGATAGTGTTATACGTCACTTGGAAAAAAACTTGGCTACTAAGTCTACATTTTGTTTTTTTTCTTTACCTTGGTATCTCTAAAAACAAAAAAGTGAAAGCTAATTAATACCTTATTAAGATAAATTGAATGCACGATACAACTGTACATACTGCGGTAATGTAAATAATTTCGCAGTAGCGTGTACGATTCATCAGGGAGAAACTAATGTGAATGTTATAGTTAATAATAAACTACCAGAACTAGTCATCACTGGGGTAAAAAAAATGTATACGAACAACATCATTAGAAAAACTAATGATGACATAATGTTGAATTCTGTGAATAATATAGGGGATAATTGCAATGAAATTTGGACAGTGAGTGGTAAAATTAATAATCAAATGGAAATTCTTAAATTCTTAGAATTATAAAATATTAATATTGATAATACTGACTTTGTTGTAACAACATATGGCAATAATAGGAAAAAAACTATTGTCACTCTCATACTTGATAGTGTTATTAAAGGTTCAAGGTACAAAATTAATTTTATTCTCATCAAAGAGGCTAGTGTATCAATCTTAGGATATAATGCATGCATAGGGATAAAGTTAGTGCAGACGTTGATTCATTTCTTGCTAATAAAAATTCTTTCATGAAAGTTTTTATGAGGAGAGAGTATCAAATCCATCTTAAACGAAGTTAAAAGTTTAGACGATTTTAATGAAGCTAATTAAAGTGGGTAGGTTAATAACATAATTACTGTTGAGAAATTGTCTTAATGAGTTAGTCAGCAGTAACCAGTTTCCGAATATTAGATGAATTCAAAATAAATAAGAACTAAATGTTCAAATTTTCACGAAATTATATATTATGACATGACAATTGTTTCGACAACACCGTGTCTTTATCAAATGTCTAGACATAAATGGATTTTCATCAATTAAAAGCCAGCTCAGTTCAATATTAGATGAATTAGCAATAAAATCACACAGTAAATCAATTTTCAAAGATTTTCACCATGTATTTTTAGAAAGTGAAAACTTTTTCAAATTAAGAAATGATTTATATAGTTTGTTGTTTCTGTTTGTGATACCCTTCCTTTAATTTTATTTCATTGAAAATAGGACAAACTGTAATATGCTTAAAATAAAATGCTTATTAAGTAACACCAGCGTGAAATTTCAGCTTTATTTCAAAACGGGTGAAAGATGAAAATGATTTCACAAAGTACTCACTGTTAAACTGGTAGGAAAATTGGGAAATTATATATATTGCATTTACATTCCATTATGTTAACCTGTACGATAAAAAAATAATACCCTGTGCAACCAATATTGGCTGTATTTCCGACGTTGAGTTATCAAGCTTAAATGAGACAAGAGTTCAAAAAAATTGAGACCACAGAGAACGCTGCAGTAAGGTCATGGACAGTTCAAAACCGACGAAAATCTCTGTTACTATGGGGTATAAATTATTTTTTCGGTTACAAGTAAAAGTTTGTGACGTTTTTTTTGTAGATCATAATTTATGACCTGTTCTCGAATGCATTTCGTGTTGTTTTTTATTTTTTAAGAATAAAGGAGCATACTCACTTGTGAGATCACCAAATCGTTGCCGACGCGTTTTGCTTTTACCACAGGATATCCAGACTGCCCGAACCAAGACGAAACTATGGACGCAAAGTCGACGCCAGCTGGAATTTTCGATACCGCATTATCCACATTGTCTTGGAATATTGTCCACAGGTCACTGCCATCGGCGAAACGATACGCACTGCAACGTTTTAATTTTTTTATAAAATCTACCTTTACGATAAAATATAGCACATGTTAGGGATTTCATTTATTTTTTCTAATAAAGTTTTAAAAAATCTACGGAAAACCGCCTACTTTGGGGTCGAAGTTTCGGTATAATCTTTAACGGCTTCCAAAACTTTCCAGATTACGTGTTCAGAAGTTGGGTTTGTTGTGGAACAGATGTGATTGAAGATCAACACCTCCCTCCACTGGTAGGCTTTTACCACCCCCAATAAACAGAGCAGGACAAGTGTTTCTTTAGAATGCTTCACCTAATACGCCTATCAGGCGGTGCAACCTTAATGTACTTGACGTTTAATAAACTTTGTCCCGAATCATCCGTCAATTCATAGGCCCGGTGACATATAATCTTCGAAACAGTAGATAGACCTACATATCTTAGAGCGAATTTAGAGGCATCCTATATCATATAATTTCTTCTTCAAACTTTTTGTCCTGCTGTGCAACCTCCCAAATCTCAGGGTCGACTTTAAAAAGAAAAAACAAAAAAGAATTGCCTCACCCGACTATCAACTGGTGCTCCCAAAGGGAATTGGTACCAACTAGTACAGGAAAGTTTACAACTATGGACGTTAATCAACTAATAAATTTAAAGAAGCAAACAAATTTGCATGCATCTTCAGTCTACGCACTGCATAGTACGGGCGGCAAAAGAAATGGAAACGTTTGGAGAGCTGGAAGGTGCTTACGATGGAACAAAAAAGGCAGTATTTAATGCACTATGCCAGATTTATTCCCCTGTCATCGTGTACTCGCGGCGCGGGATCCGAGTAGATTGTTTGAGTTCGTTGACTACATGTGTCCCAGGAGGAAACTACCGGTTGCCACTAAGACAGGAGTAGACAACAAGTAGGAAGACAAATAAGAAGACGACAAAATAAAATTAATATTAAATAACTACTTAAAGGTCAATAATTACATGGAATGGTTCAAGTTGGCGGAAACGTGCTTCAACAAAATCCCACAAAAGTGAACTAGGAAACCAAATACAGGCATCACAATTTGCTCAGCCCCAACCAGGCCCCTTACTTATATTTCTCAAGAAAAACAGAACCACAACAAGAGTATATTTTTTCCCTGGGAAATCAAAAGCACCAGAACTTTCGCTCGACTTGTAGATACGTTTGATAAGGCAGAACACTTCATCGACTCTTTTTATACACTCATTTCGTCCCATATACACTGGAGAAAAATATGAGAGTCACCATTATAACACAATAAGGAAATATCGGGTGGCACCTGGAAACAAGGTCGAAACTCCATGTGGATTGAATAATAAGGGGAGTGAGTCTGGCACGATTATCTAGCCGGAAATTATTTTGGGTCGTGTGCGTCCGGCTTAAGGGGCTCAGAACGTTCCGAACTCAGAAGCGTATTGCTACGCCAGGTCAGGGATGTGAAGAAGTTATGCAAAATTCAGAAGGTTGATTTGCCATTGGGGAGGCGGTGAATTAAGTAATCTAGACAACAAATCAGATGGAAATCTTGTAGTTTGGCGAGACACAGGGAAGGAAACGGTATCTCTAAGGGAACCCTGTCCGGTTGATTATATGCTTGTCCAACGGGTTCATCATTTATTATATATATGTAAATAAGGGTACTTATCTCGCGAACTCCCGTAAACTAATAAGTAAAACTTTAAATCTGGTTCATTGCAAATTTTTACTTCTCTCCCTAACACTACACATTTAGGGGTATTCCCGTTTGTTGCGAATCCCATGTAGTGTGTAGTTCTGATATGTAGGTGATTAGAATAGTTTCCATACCATGGTGAGCCATTTCAACAGGATTGATGCGGGGATGATAATATGCGGTATTCGTTAATCAAGGATCGTGGTTCTTGGCCCATTTGTGAATCTAGGCAAGGGCGCAAGCAAATCACAGCTCCCTATTTTCCAACGCCTAATGGCCACAGGTGTCATTCTTAACCTAACTTATACTTAATAATATATCTGGTAATGTCTCGCTGGGCATCTTCGGTCAGTAATAATGTTATGCTAACAAAAATACCTTGGTGACCACAATGCGGTGGAACGTGATTCTGTTTAATTATTTCCAATTTTTCAAGTTTAGGCATCATTTAGACATCTATGACTAGGCCAGACCTTGATATGTTGTCAGGTGCTCCGTAATATTTACCCTTCTGATGTACAATATCGATATCATACCGCTGCCGATGCACATTCCAGCGAGCTTCCAGTCTTGTCTTTGTTCAACTACTTTAAGCTAAACTAACGGAGATGCAAAATGTGGGCAGCACAGCAAGCAAGATTCATCCCAGTTATGTGGGATATTTTGAGGGTCAAAGCGGTAAAAGATGAAATAGCTACTAAAATCCCGGTATAAAACGTCTATACCCACTTGCTAATAGTACAAACTTTCTGATTGCAGTAACAGTCCTCTGCCATAAAATTATAAAAAATGGAATCTGCTTTTTCGGAGTCCTCCGTGAGTCCCGTATTATTGACCACGTATCCCAGATATTTCAGGTCAGGCTTACGGAAGATACACTTCCTCCTATTCAAGGTAAGTCCAGTGTCGGTTATCCTTGTCAAGAATTCCATGAGGATTTGTGGGCGTTTGTCCGGACTTATTATGATACTGACAGATATGCTTTTGAAAATCTAAGCCAAAATTAAACGGTACCCTTTTGAATTGTAACAGTGAAAGCTGTTATGCCTTCGAGCCATTCGAATTCAAAATTTCCGAATAGGCGTCTGGCGTACCAACGAACTCCACGTCCCTGAGATTGTTCAAGGTAGCACTAACTAAAGGAATGGCACTAAGATAGTTGCTTTATTGTGGTTCCGGTAGTCTACACAAAATCTCCATTAGCCAAACTTTCTCTTTACCAAACTATCGGAGGAATGCAAAATTAGTCGTTATATACGAGTAGTAAATGAATGGTCACTACCAAAGATTTTACTGCAATAATTTGTTCACTCAGTGATAGTGGAGAATTATTGAAACTTCCTATTGTTAGTGCAAATGTTGTCAATTTATTACTAATCCTATAATACTGTGAACATTACGGCTAAACAACAAATACGGATCTGTTGAAATAAAGAAATATTCTCATAAGTCGTTACTGTTAGTGTCACAGTGACGATATTCCAATTGATAACTATCTCAATCTGAATCTGAATACTTACAATTTCGTCACGAATTGCTGGATTGCTTTGAAAAAATTGTCCTGTCCCATTACATGCTGTATCATGCGAAATAGGCCACCACCTATTGATTAAAAACTAATTAAAATATCGGAAATAGCTCATAATGTTGATCACCTTTTGTGTATATCAAATTTATGTTCGTAAAATGTACCAAGTCCATAGTGTCTTCCTCCGAATCTTCATTTAAGGCCAAATATATGGTAGGCATCATGAAACCTATGTACTTCCAATCCGAAATGCTCTGTAGTAGATACATCTTGTGATAACGCATAATTTTTTAAATATTCCTTTATACTTGCAGTTAAAATATATTACGCATCAAGATTGAGAAAGGTCACTTTAGTTACGAGTTTAATTTGGCACGATCGGTGCGAGTGTCTACTAAACAAATGACTAAAGAAGTTTATCAACGTAATAGATACTATAGTTTTTCTGAAACCAGTACTTACAGCACGAATATGCCCACTAAGTGACGTCTCATATAATCATCAGAACTGATAAACATCAAAATACCACACTTCCTAAATGCGTCGCGACCGTAGTTAATGGAGTTTACTTAATCGAGCATACAATTTTTAACAAAATAATCCTAATGGGATATGATAAGATAGATACCTTAGGGGATCGATTCGTTAGCATTTGACTGCATAATTTCACCCAAAATAACTAAGTTTTTTACAAAATGTTCTTTGAACCATTTCAAGTAACAGCTTACAAAAACACTGAAAGTTACGCAAAATTTACAAATTGCACTTTTCTAAACAATTTAAACGATCTTATAAAGTACGAAAATAAAACCATAATCCTCGAAAATATTAAATTACCATTTTTCCTAGCTTACAACAAACATTTAAAAAAGCTTGTTGAGTCCACATTAAATGTAGTCTTGTTTTGATTAGGTTGGAATGTTTTATTATTTTCCTATAATTACTTTTGAATGACATTCACCAATTTCATTTTACTTATTTTAAAATGGCTGACGGCTTGCATTGATAAGAGTTATCTCCTTTTTTCATTGGCAACGCTTGGGTCGCGAAAACTGTTTTTCTGATCCGATGGAGTAACCGCTAAAAATAGAGTTTGTGCATTTTTCTTTGTGATACCATTTGCTGATCAAAATCGATCGGCCGTATTCATACATTTAAGCAGATATGAAAAACTCAAGAAGGGATTAAAATACTTCGTGACATTCAGTCCCTAAAGAGCACTTTTGAGAAGAGAACCCACTATAAATTTCAACAACAATTTTATAATAATATCGTCAACTATGAGGATGGTAAAATGAATTTGCCCTCAATAATGGTAAATATCCATATAAGACCTGACAGCTTAGTTGACGTCACCGACGATATCAGTAGAATTCCTAACTCACACACCTAATATTCACGTTAGGCACAAGGTCATACCACCAGACAGACTTGAAATGTTTGACTTCCCCACCTGATAGACATAGAAAATGTAACTCGAAAAAACATTTGAGATTCGTTCATTTAGGTCCACTAAATTTCTTTTACGATTTTAAAAATATGTTTCATGAAGGTCGTGCCAAATAAGAAAATTTGTTTTTGCTCCTGCGTCGTTTGTTATTAAATCAACCTTGCTGACGAAATTCAGTTTCAGTTAAGTTCCGAAGAAGCCAACAAGATGATTGGTGAAACGTCAGCAAGATCAATTCAACCACAACCGAAGCAGGAAGGACAGCCTTGTATCTACAAATCCTTACTTAACTTTTGGATAACAAAGTGATCAATCCCTCAATTTTAAAATATTCGGCCCCTGCTTGGATAGTCCCGAAAAATGATAATGCCTGGTTAATACTAGACAATCTTGGAAATGGATAAAAAAACTACCGAATTTAGGGCACTTACATTAAACCAAGGTTATTTTGAATATCGTTTAGTGCCGTTTGGTCTGAAAAGTGATGGATGAAGTTCCCAGGGAATATTTTTACAAATTTTGCTTTGTCTATATGGATGGCGTTATCATATTCTCGAAATCTGAACACATCGACCGTGATCGTTCAATTTTCAACAAATCGGAATTTATCTGTTGGTAAAGAAGCTGGCTTTTTAGGGCATATAATAACCCCGGAAGGTGTTAGATCAAACCTTTTAAAATTCGAAGCGGTAAAATGTTGTTCAATCTCGAAATCCCGAAAGGAGTTGAAAGCATTCCTAGGTTTGGTAGATTGATTTAAAATTTTGCGGAAATTACATTACCACTAAGTTACTCCGTCAATCAAGAATATTAGAGCGCCTTTATGAAATGCAAGGAATTAATCACAAATTTTCGATTTTTCGAAATATTTTTAGATTTCTACTGACGCACACAGGCGAATTTTCGTCAAAAGCTGACCAGAAGTCAGAAACTCCAATTTAAAAATCTTGAGCTAAATCCATTACATTTCAGTGATCTAGTTACCTGGCTATTATAAATAAACAAACTTTTGTTTTGATTCGCGTTATTACGCGCCATATTGTTATTGAAACTTGAAAGTTTATTAATTTGTATTCATTTAATCAGAGTGCATCAGTGTGTATTTAACCATTTTTTCGAAAGTTGGTGATTGGAAAATAATAAAATTATAGTATGGAGCCTATTGCTAGTGGTAAGTACAAGCATATAGTTATTATTATCTATGCAATTCTTATCATCTTTGAGTTGTTTTAATGTTACAATGGCGTCACTTCTTAAAATATATAAATGTTTCGTTTTCTTTGGACAAAAAGTAAATTTCCCCGCGTTTCCCCATCTTCAAATTAGCATAGAACTCTTATTTAATATGTCCTTAAAAAGACATATTTTCTTATTTATGCTATAATTTGCGATCTTAATGGGTATCTATTTTTTAAGAAGTGCTGTCAGTGCTGGTATATATTTTTAATTTTGGTAAAATTTACTATTGTAGGGTTTTTAAACATGCAAAATTCAAAACTGCTAATGGCAATATTGCCAGATTTACAGCTTTTTGAAAAGAAATATTTATATCCTAGACTATTAAGTGTTTTTTGACTAATGGATGACAGTCTAAAACCTGTATTTGCCCTGTGTGATTTTAAAAATTTGTGACACAGACAGTTATTAGGTATCTAATTATAATAGATCAGGAATTATGAGATATGTTTTTGTACTAGATTTTTATAGACGCAAATGTACAAATTTAAATAGTCCATAAAAAGACTTGTCATAAAAAGTTCTGCTTGTTTATTGCCCTAAATAATAAGATTATACTTGCGAAATTCTTAATACTTAAAGTACTGAAATATCAACATCTCATCTTCGTTTTTACCCCTTTTCTGTAAAATATTTATGATTATCTTTTTGTAATTACATATACATTATCATAATTCAAGGTTAAAAATAGAACTGTTTTATGTTTTTCTTCAATAATACACATTGTTCGTGTTGTTAAAAAAAGTTTTAATAACTGTCACTGAAAAATAAATGAATTACGTAAAAATGTGAACAAGTAAGAAACTAAATTAAAAATATTCTGACGTCATTTAAAAAAAATATATTAATCAGTATATAATTTAGGTACGACTTTTCGACCACATTTTATATTTTTACATGTAGCGTAATAATAGTGTAAAGTACTGTATTATCATTAAAATTTATACTTTTTTTAAATAAATTCATTATTCATCATTTTTAGATATGTTTTTAAGATAAATAATGTTGTCCAGCATTTTGATCAAATTCGCCTATGTTTGACGCCTCGAATACAACCATTGGCAACGTAGTGTCTAGTTTTCAATACAGCCGAGATAAATTATTTTTAATCGAAACGACACACTAGTGTGACTGCCCAAATGAAAGGAATTCAATTCTCACCTAATCCGTTGGACGCTAAAACTCCATTCCATTTCGAGATCAAATATAAAAAATGTAATATACTTCACAGCAGCTGCCCTTTCCCAGATAGGTATATGTGAGTTACACGAAAATGAAATAGATTCTAGCATCCTCGATATCAACGACACAGTTGCTAATCTGGCTACTTCTTCCAAAACAGAAGTCCAAATTACGACCAAGATATGAAAGGCCTCCCTATTTCGGAATTACCTACAATTACCTACCTACACTCTTGTCTAATTAGAATTTTCAAGGAGGGATCATTAAAGCAAAGGGACTGTTATAATTTCTAACCTTGAGCTCAAATTGGAATTTCAATATTCAGTGAACGGCTAAATGGAACAAATTTATTTGAACATCATGTATTAGATTTCCAGAACCATTTTCGTACACATCGCGCAAGTTCCTTTTTTTGAACTTAACAAGATTTTTTTAAAAATCGGAATTCTTATTCTTAACTGAGGAATAACGATTTTTAATATGTTAAGTAGGGCTGTACTAAGAGACACCAGCCCTCAGGCGGTCACGTCACACGCCACTCGGTAAATCAATTCGTGCTCTTTTGCAAATATTCACAAATCCTAATGACCTTTAGTCACTCGCTCCGCTGTAATTCATTTGTTACTAAAGTGGCATTTATCAAACTTGTTGCGTAATACAACATTTTAGCTCTGTTTTCATTTGTATTAGCTTTTAAATATTCTGATAGACGATATTGAGGCTTCGATTTTCGAATTTCGTCTTAGTCAACTTTGCTCACATTTTCTTTAAAATACGTCAGGGTAATTAACGCTCTTAAAAGTTCTAGATTGGCCAAGGAATTATTCCAAATTTGATATATTGGCCAAATCTATATAATTGTTTTTCAAATGAGGCGATGATTATATGTTTCCGAAAACCATGGCAACAATTTCAAATGGACTCGAATTCTACACAGAACTCTAAAATTAAACTTGGCCTATGTTTATCCTTACCCAAACCCCCCCCCAAAAAAGTTTTTTTTTTTGGAAATCCGCAGCCGCTAAGCCCGTTTGACATGGTGCATTAAACTTGCAGTGCAATGCCGGGCCTAAGAAATAAGAAGGCGTTAAAAGTTTGACAGTGGTCTAATGTTGCTCTTCGATTTCTGCATATTAATGTTATAGAAAGAAGCAAGAATTTGGTTAGTTATGGAGTACAGTCCATAATTTTCGCAGCTAGCAAGAGATTTCCATGCAATTTTTACCGGTCGGTGCTAATTTTTTTGTCTTGACTGATGTATCACGAACCCATTAAATATCAACGTTGTTGAAGGGCCGTTAACACTATTGTTTTCAAAATCGGGAAATACAAACTGAACAACTATATGCTGGTTGTCGAGCCGTGGCTCGCATGCTTTATTGCGCC